TTTTTTTTTTTTTAGAAAAGTCATGTAAAAATGCATCACATGATACATCAGGCTTTTGAGAAAAAAATGTATCTCAATCATCATTGTATTGCACTATTATATGTTTTGCCCCCAATAAAAACTACAGAGCTTTGATCATAAAACTAAGTATTTACTAAGACATATATTATTGGCAGATACAGAGTGAAAACTGATATTTATATGTATTTTATGTCAGCAGTCTGCTATTCTGTTAAAAAAAAATCTCATTGATTAACATTACAAGCTATCAGAATTTAATCTCACTGTTTAGACATAAAAATGACAACATCTGCACCAAACAGCGTATTTTTGCTCAGTTTGAGCCAAGTCTGATCTCCATATTCTCACTACATGAGCCATAAAAGCCTGATGTACAAAATGATACTCAAAAAGGTTCTCACTTGCATTTGCAGGTAGTGTGCAGTGCATACTTCACAGTATGCTATATTTCATTCTGAACACAGTCATCATTACAGTAATGACTAGTGTCCAGCTGAAGTCAGTGCTTGTGTGATCTGAGCAGCTTTACGGCTGTACCTTGTTAGAGCGTAGTGAAACTCTTCCTCCACAGCGAACGCAGAACTTGCTTTGGCAATACGAACAGAGGTGGCCACAGCCGTCGGCAAACTTGGTTTTATGGCAGATTCCACAGGTGGGGGAGTCACTCTTCTGCTCCTGGGTGCTCTGTGCCTCTTCCCCCATCTTACTCACCTGGTCCTTATACATTTCAAATTGCTGGTGCAATTTCCTGCAGGAAACAGAACGCAGCCAATCAGAACACAGCAAGAAAACACATTATAAGTATATAGAATGTGTATTTAATAAAAATAGGAATATACTTGAAAAATAGGAAGGATTTTGTCATGGGTTACAACCAAAAGGACAATTTTATTGCTCAGAGCTTGCGCTTTTCATTGCTCATTAGACTTCATTCAATTCATTCATTGTTTCATTCAAATATTAACTTATTTATCTTAAAAACCTTTTAAAAAATGTAAATAAAAAAATAAATAAAAATACAATTGCTGACATACAGTAATAGTACAGAGCTATAAAATTAATATGAAGACTATGATCTCAGACATTTTTTGAAAGAAATTAATACTTTTAATCAGTAAGAATCCATTAAATTCATTAAAAGTGATATATTAAGTAAAACAAATATTAAGCAGCACAACTGTTTTCAACTTTGATAATAAATGTTTATTGAGCAGCAAATCAGCATATTAGAATGATTTCTGAAGGATCATGTGACACTGAAGACTGGATTAATGATGCTGAAAATTCAGTGAAATAAATGCAATTTTAAAGTATATCAAAATATTTATATTAAATACATTATTAACTGTAGATTTTGATCAAATAAATGCAGCTTTGGTGAGCATAAGACAAATAAAAAACATTTTTAAAAAATCTTACTGAATGCAAACTTTTCAATGTACATTACAAAAAAATCTAAATTTGTTGAAAACGTTTAAAATCAAAGTAACATGAATACAAATGATACATTTGTATTCATGTTACTTTGATTTTAAACGTTTTCAACAAATTTAGATTTTTTTGTAATGTACATTGAAAAGTTTGCATTCAGTAAGATTTTTTAAAAATGTTTTTTATTTGTCTTATGCTCACCAAAGCTGCATTTATTTGATCAAAATCTACAGTTAATAATGTATTTAATATAAATATTTTGATATACTTTAAAATTTCATTTATATCACTGAATTTTCAGCATCATTAATCCAGTCTTCAGTGTCACATGATCCTTCAGAAATCA